TAAACGAAAGTTCCATTTCAAGTCTGACGACCTATGGGGCAAGTGAAGTAGAGTTCACCTGTTTCTGTGACCTCTGATTATGAAGGGATGGTGTGGTCAGCACTATTCCCTAACATCAGAGCTGTGTGGACTCGTGGACGTTCTACTGACATGAATCCGGATTCGAACTCGTGTCATTTGAGTTAGCAGTCTAGCACTTTACTGCTAGGCCACGAGCTACTATTATCTTTATGTTTTTACTTTAAAATTCTTTTGTAGTTAATTTTCGATAAACATATCTCTTCTTAATTCCGTTTGTGCCCAAGACACATAGGGCAGGTGAAGTAGAGTTCTTCTGATTCATTGACCTCGGCATATAGAGGGATAGTGTTGTTAGCACTAAGACCAGCCGCCTTTGTTTCCCTAACGTAATTAGGTACCCATCAGAGCTGGGTGGACTCAGGGACATTTCACTGATTTGAACCTGGATCCGAACGCTAGACTCTCCGTTTAGCAGTCTAGAACACTACCGCTAGCCCACGCTGTCCCTGATGACCATGTAGTTGCTATTTAAAATGGAAATGTTCATGCCATAGAGGAGGAAACACGTAGACCAAGACGTCTATTTAGAAAGCCAGCTATAAAATGAAATGATTAATGCTAAGTGCGTTTCCGAATCTTAATGGGGCTTTGTGAACCGATCAATGCGACACGCTAAATTAGGTATGGGAAATACAATTTTTGCTTTTTAAAGTGTTGAAGGTAGAATACAATCTGAAGTACGTTTTCTGTTGTGAGGTATAGTGGTAGATGGATAGAACGGGAGATAAGTTAAAGTCACGTTCTCTTTTCGAATCTGAAGGTCCATGGGGCAAGTGAAGTAGAGTTCACCTGTTTCTGTGACCTAAGCAGCCACACCTTTTCACAGGACTCTGTTTTTGACAGCTCTCGATAGTAGAGCCCACGTAAGCCCGGCAGCCCTTGCTTCTCCTTCCACAGTCCTTCTCCAGGATTGCTTAAGTCGGTGTACTTTACTTTTTCCCAAGGAGTTTGAGTCCAACGCTTGCCTCGCAATGTTGACCTCTTCCACTATCAAGGCATGCAAAATCCCAATTTGCAGGCTTTAATGTCTCAGGGTCTACGACCCATTCCCTAAAGGACACTTGCCCGAATACGACAAATACCTGAAAGATACTTACCCGAATACGACAAATACCCAAAAAACACTTATCCGAATACGACAAATACCCAAAAGACACTTGCCCGAATGCGACAAATGCCCGAATTGACACATACCTAAATGCGACAAATTCCCGGAAGGGCACTTGCCCGAAGGCCGTTTTCCCCAAAAAAATTTAATATTACATATTACTAAGTTGAAATGTCCCTATCTATCGGCTGTTGTATTGTGATTTACTACAAGTCTTCGCTGGACATTTTTTCTGGCCATCTTATCTTAAACATCTGTCTTAGTCGTCTATTTATGACTGTTATTCTTTGACTTTAAAACCTCCCAGGTCTCCGAGCAATAACATTTACATAACTCTTCATAATATAACATTTTCAACATCCATTTCCTTAGTTATTATTTCCTTGTGTTTGTTTCTATCCTCCTCAACACACGATCGTTGCCTGACTAGCAGGAAGGGATTAGTCAGATCTTCGGGCGTCTGAAGAGTGTTGTGCCAAAGGATTACAGGGGACGGGCAGGGTCATTGATCCTTCGATCGCCCCCTTCAAATTCCCGACCGAAGAGTCAATTTATCGGTGCGAGTGTTGTGATTCATAATAAAGAATCTGAAGCGTTACTTCTGGCACTGTTATGCAAGTTCTGAGTTAAATCAAGCATAAAGAAAATACTGGTTCTTCTTTCTTCTTCTTCGTTCTTAATTTTGGTGCTGGAAGGGATCCCGTCCAACACAATTAAGTATGTGTTAACTGGTTTTGCGCCATTGAAGCCATTGACTCCGATGTCAGCCTGCTTTTCATTTTGGATTTGCTTCCATAGTTTTTGTCCAACCAAGAACAAACTACAAGGCAGCAGTTGTTTTATTTTGGAGTTGTCTCTCCCAGAAGAGTGGCTGTCCCAAGCTAACGAGCCTTATCTGCCCGAGGGTTCGAACTCGAGACTTTTTGGTTTAGCAACTATGAGCTTTACCAACTCGACCACGCCGACCCCTAAAATACTGGTTGAAAACATAGGGTATGAAATATTTTGTGGATTTGATCCCAAGACGAAAATGTTCAAAATGTTAACTTAGGGGGCGGCAACCCGCGACCTTGTGCCACGTACGGCTCTTTCTTCGAGTAAACGCGGTTCTCTTTAATACATGTGTTTTGATATTAGTAAAAAATAAATAAAAATAAAGAACAGTATGGTGGGATGGTAGCGCTCGACTGCTAAACCGAAAAGTCTCGAGTTCGGATTCCGTAGGAAATGCCTCAGCCTTTTTTGGGTACCTGACTCAAGGTTGGGAAAGTATAGACCGCTAGGGAATAGGTACAGATCACACTGTTCCTTTCTTGTTCCGGATACACAGAAACAGGTGAACTCTACTTCATCTGTCACATGCATCGCCGGGTCGGAAAGAATAACCTAATACAAAAAAGTTCGGGGAAGAAACATATATACTTCTTGTCAGAGGCGTAGCGAGGGGGGTGCGGGGGGTGCGGGGGGGGGTGCGGATCGCACCAGGTGACACCATTTCGGGGGGCGGGGTGACACCTAGGCAAAAAATAGCAAAATATATAGAGAAAATTGATAATTCCTCTTAATTAAGTGATTAATTCGAGTTTTAAATAGTCTTTTAAGAGGTGCAAATCGAAAGTTGGAAGGGGGGGGGGGGATCAAAATAAAAAATTTGAGGAGGGGGGTGTAAATCGAAATTTTGAGGGGGGGGGGGGTTGCAAATCGAAAATTGAAAGTTTGTCCCAGGGAAGGATCGCTACGCCTCTGGGGGGTGACACCATTAAGTGCCGCACCGGGTGACACCCGACCTTGCTAGCCCACGGTACAGTAGCTATCATGAGTAGGCCTATTGGAACGAAAACGTCAATTTTAGCTTGATTTACAAAACTAAAATACATTTTGGAGAAAAAACAAGTTATAATTGAGCTCTTTATTGAAATATATTTCTCCTTGAAAACCATCTATGGCTTCAAGTGGAAAGGAGATGATATTTGATTGGACGCCGCTGGGTACTGCTAACCTCTGAGTACTCATTAGAGCTGGAGGTCAAGTTGTCTGGGTGAGTCTGTCTGGTATGAAGTCTCAACGACTAGACTCGATGCTGATGTAGGTCTCTTCCGCTAGGTCGCTATAGTAATCGGAATCGTAGAATAGAAATCAGTAGCTTGAAAAAATAAATTAGTGCCACCTTAGTAAAATAGACATGACCTGACCCAGAACCATAGTTTAGACCAATAGGTAACCTTTTTAAAATAATGCTAAAGCGCTGTTCGATTTCAAACGGTATGGGTATTGTAAACAAAAAACAAAACAAAACAAAGGCAGTAGTAAGTTTGCCAGCATCGATGCTCAAAAACCTGATCCATACCTACCCCTGACCCCCATCTGACAATAACCATTGCCCTGACCCGTATCTAATCACGACCCTAGCCCTAAATTAACTTGTTCCTTGCTCCTGTCCTTAATCTAATCCTAACTCTAGGCCTGACTTTAGCCTAAGTATGACCCTAACCGCATCCTAACATTAAACCTGGCCTTAACTATTTTAATCCTAGCCTTAATCCTAATGTAATCCTAATCGTATCTCCTATTCTGACCAAAATTATGAACTATTTCTGAATCTCGTACTAAACATAATCCTTATCCTAATCTTATCCTCATCCTAGCCATGACCACAGTCTATGTTTTAATTTTAGTTTTCATTACACGAAAAAATGCGCAATGAAAAATGGTGCGCTTAAATGTGCGCAAAGGAATTTTTTAAAATGTGTAAGTCGAGAATTTATAGACATCAGCAAAGAATGATCAAACGTATATTGTTGGGGATGGGGATCGGCAAAGTATATCTGTGGTTTTTCACCGGGCTGTAGTGTTACTGAACCCTGAAATTATGACAGACAAACCCAAAATACATTGTCTACGAGGTTCTGGTGATTAAAAAAAAGATTCCAGAAAACAGAGTTGAATACAACAGGCATAAAGTGGAATCAATGCCTCAGGATGTAGAGCGCTAGGCTGCTGATCTGAATGTCTAGAGTTCGAATCTGGGTCCAAGTCAGTAGAACGTCCCAGAGTCAACCCAGCTCTGAGAGATACCTAACCCATGTTAGGGACAGTAAAGCGACATCTTCCCTTCAAATGCCAAGAAACACAAGAACTGTACTTTATCTGTCCAATTGATCGCTAGGTCTAAAGAGGATTTTTTTACTTTTTTTTTAGCGCGTCAAGATAGGGCATCTCGAGTCTTTTCTTCAAATGACATTACTAACCCAGTCTTTACTCGAATTTAGTACTGACTATAGCCTTGAACCTATAACTCTTCACTCAAACCTAGTACTGATCCTAGCCTGGAGCCTACAAGTCTTCACTTAAACTTAAAACTGACCATGGAGCCTATATCTGCCATAAAACTAATCATAACTCTTGCATCCATACCAGCAGAAATTTAAAAAAAAATCACGACAACAGGGCTGGTAAGTAGGTCGCCAACCAGTTCTACGGCTCAATAAAACCTGCGTAAGCCATATAACTGGTTGGTGACCTACTTACCAGCCCTATTCATTTACTGATAACAAAAATAGCTCCTTAAAACAGATTCCATCGATGTTAAAATCAAAACTAAATCACAGTTCCTGTTCGATATTGTCAATTCAAAATGTATTAAAGTGAATAATCTATCACAAAAACACACACAAACCAGCAACCTTTTTCAGATATTTTCATATCAAAGTAAACAACAGTCGAATACGTAAAACGTATTACTCTCGATGAAAATCAGTAACACTGGTAAACCGAACTTAAAGAAGATCGTGTGTTTCCCAGCGTGTTTTAGTGGTGTTCGCCAATCAATACCACTGGCAATAAGGTGTCACCTCTACCCCTCTAAAATACCATCTGGCCCAACATTTTCCGTGGCAGTAATCGGGTCTGTGAATAGAAAAAAATATCCATACAGATTCTTTTAAGAGCAGGAGTCAAGTAAGATAAGAACATATGGGCGTAACTCAGATAATGTTACTAAAAGATATATATATATATATATATATATATATATATATATATATATATATATATATATATATATATATATACATAAATATATATATATATATATATATATATATATATATATATATATATATATATATATACATAAATATATATATATATATATATATATATATATATATATATATATATATATATATATCATACTGTAATAGAGATTGACAAAAACTTTTAGAGACAAGAAATATTTTGACACACAAACAAACACACACGCACGCACACGCGCACACACACACATGCACACAATTAGCCCCTAACTAAAGATATAAAGATACAAATAAAGGGCAGATACTTACACACACTGAGCCCATGGAATACTGGGACAAGCAGAAACGGTGCATGGGTTGACGAAACAGAAGACTTGGTTAGGGCAGAATAAATCTGAATTAAATAAACCGGGAGTGATCTCCCCTAAACTTTCTCGAATATTCTTATATAAAATAACAGGGGATGGGAACTCGGGCTATAGACATGATTTTTAATCCATTTTAAATACTTAAAGTTTTAAAAATAGAATAAAATCTCGTAGACAAATTAATTGCACACCAAGTGAACGCGAAATAAAAAAGCGCATAATAGTGCGCAATATTATTATTACTTTTAAAATTTACATTAGTTTTTTGAGAAATCGGAAGTAGCGTAAAATACTACTTCCAGTCAACGGAAATGACTCAAAATTTAATAGAAGGTAGAGAATTAGATCTTTTACTTACGTATGAAATTTCATTTATCTATCTGAAATAGTACTCAAGTTATAGGCTTTTGAAAAATTCAAAGTAGGAAAAGTACCACTTCCGGTTATCGGAAATCGCTCAAAAGTTGATACGGATCTACGATTTTGATAAAATACTTATATATGAAATTTCATCAACCTAGCTGTAACGGTACTCAAGTTATCGTGTTTACACACGGACACACACACACACAGACACACACACAGACACACAGACATACGGACAAGATTGCAAAATTATGTTTTTCCGTATCAGTGAGATGCAAAACGTCGAGATTTGCAAAAATCTCGATTTTTTTTTTTTTGCACGATTACAAGACTTTCTCTATACTTCGTATATACGAGAAAGTAAAAAAGGACATTTACATTTATCGTAGTTAAAATTTGATGAAATGATGTAAAATTACAGTTGTTAAAATTTAACTACATCATGCAAATGTATAGTAGTTAAACCTGATGAAATGATGTAGAATTGCAGTAGTTACAATTTGATAACATCATGATGAAATGATGGAGAAATAAGGTAGTTAAAATTTAATGACATCATAGACAATTACACTGTTATCGATGAAATGAAAAATATTGCTGAAGAAAAAAAATCTTATTTAGTAAACAATAATGGCCATAATTATTTTTTTTTTTACAAAATAAATAAATAAATGACAAGACTTACAGGCCGAAGCGGCCACACAGCCAGCGAGAATCAACAGAGCGACGGCTTTCATGGTGGCTGTATGATGTTTTGTTAGCAGACGTCACAACATAGGCTGCAGACAACAGACTGTAGCCAGTTTTTTTAAAGGGTTTTATATACATACACAGAGTGGGAATACGCTCATTAAAAAATAATTAAAAGTACATAATTTTTATGATGTGCTTTAATTAGAGTGTATAAAAATTAAAAATCTACGCTTCGGGGTATACTGTCACGCTTGAAAGAACAAATTGTGCACCAGTATACCAACTGCAACGACTATCAAGTCTAATCATCAATCATTTAATTTAAACACTTCCATTTTGGCTTACTTTTTCTTGATTAATTATCTTCCTCATTTTCGACGAACTTTATATTACGGTGTCTTCCCTCAACCCTTTGGCTAACAAGCGAGGCTTGGGGGGGGGGGGGGGGGGGGGGGTAGACGAAGATAAAAAAAAAATAATTAAAAAGTTTTTTAATACAAGAGAGCAAACAATTTTTCCTTTAGACCTTTTTAAAGGTACATCCGTATAATATGTGTTTTCATAAAAAAAATTGGTGGGAAAATCTTGGTAAATATGACAGCGGCGGCCATCTTGAAAAAAGAACCTCTTTGTACCATTCATTAAGTACTATATTTTAAGCCCAATAAAGAATGATTTCATAACCCTCCGGGGTATTCAGCTAAAAATATTAAGTACCGATCTACAAACTTAGTATGAATTTTTAAATTTTGGGTCCGTTAAAAAATACTTGTTTTAATGCCCCAAATTTCCCCAAAATTTAGTGTTTTGAAAGAACCCAAAATTTGAAAATTCATAATAAGTTAGTTTGAGAATATGCATTTAAATTTAATTTCTTAGCTGAGTACCCCACAATATGGTAGAAGATTATGAATTCATTGTTTATTGGGCTTAAAATATAGTATTTTATGAATGGTGGAAATCCTAAGAACGAGTTGATTTTTCAAGATGACCACCGTTGTCCTAATTACAAAGATTTTTCAAATTGTTTTAAAAATCGAAACACATATGCGGATGTAGGCCAACCTGAAAAAGCTAAAAAAAATAAATAATTGTTTAATAACGAGTATTAAAAATGTATTTTTTAAAACCGGAGCCTACCCACTTAAAACACTTTGATTCCGACGCTGGCGTACGCAGTGGTGGTAGTAGGGGGGGGGGGGGTCAGCGGTCGACAATGTCAATCATCTCCAATCAATCTCCAATGGATACATGCATGGTCGTTGTGTCAAGGACTTAATACCGTAATAAACGTTAAACGTTTACGTGACAAAAATCTCAACCCTCTCCCCAAACAAAAAAATATAATGGGATGGGAGTGGGGGATTTAGTAGATTTGGCCTGTAGGTCAAGTTTCAAGGATTTGGAGATTATTGGGGTTTAGTTAATTTTTGTTAGTTTTTAATGATTTACTTTTTAAAATTTTCGGATGCGTTTTAAATGACCGACGATTTTGTTACAGGCAGTTTCGTAAATAATATTACGTTGACAGAAAGGTATTGTTTTGAGTCAGTTATATTTTAAATTTAAACTTGATTGAGAATTTACTTAACTTTTCATTTTATAATGTTATAACCTGTTTGTATTTTTCTTTGATTTAAAACTGTAGGAAGTGATATTGCTGTAATAAAAAATGTATTGAGAATATAAGAAGCATTAGTTGTATTTAACAACCGATTTACAATATTTAGAATACTCTACTTTTAATCGCAATTTTTAAAAAAATGATTTTTTTGAATTTTGCTATTTTGAAATGAATTTAATTAAGATTTGAATTTTCAGAAAAAAATAAGTTTAATTATTTGTTAATGAGTTTACATGTAATTGTTTTTTTAGAAGAATTTAATTTAATTTTCAATTTTAAGAAAAAAACTATCTTAATAGCATTTTTTAAAATAATTTATTTACAGAAGAATTTACTTCTTTAAAATAATTTAATTTTGATTTAAATAGCAATTTATTTATAATTTATTATTGCAATTAAAAAAAAACTTTTAGATTTAATAGGAGTTTATTATTCATTGTAATTTTTAAATACTTTAACTTCAATAAGACTTTACTTTTAATTGCAATTTTTAGAAAAAGTAAATATAATTGTAATTTTTCTGTTTGAATATTAAACCGCATGAAACTACTAGGGTTTTGTAAAGTATTTGATGAAAGAAAAATTAGAGCATTCTTTATAATGAGCCATCCCTGGCTATTAAAAAAGTCAACATACGGGACATTGTGTTTATTTGAGCTCATACATCATCAAATGTTATGCATGCATTAAGGCTATAGTTTAGTGCTATTGACTTTTTACTAATAGGTTCTACATATTTTCTTTTACTTTATTTCTGTGATTTTTTTGTTGTGTTAACTGATTTCACTGTAACAACAGATCATTTTTAAAAACAAACAATAACATTAAGAATTATACCTTATAAGGCGAATAATTGTTATAGACAATATAAATATCATTTGTTAAACCGAAAAGTCTCGAGTTCGAACCCTCGGGCAGATGAGGCTCGTTAGCTGGGGACAGCCACTCTTCTAGGAGAGACAACTCCAACATCAAACAACTGCTGCCTTGTAGTTTGTTCTTGGTTGGACAAAGGCTATGGAAGCAAATCCAAAAAGAAAAGCAGGCTGAAATCGGAGTCAACGGCCTTAAGGGCACATAACCAGTTGACACGTATACTTAATTGTGATGGAGACGTGGTCGAGTCGGCAAAAGCTCATGGTTGTTAAATTCGAAAATTCTCGAGTTCAAACCCTCTGGCAGATAAGGCTCGATCCCTTTCAACGTTAAAAATTAAGAGCGAAGAAGAAAAAGATCTGGAAGTAATTAATGTCCACAATTTAGCATTCTTTTGCCTAATTTAAATATTATTATGGGTGTTAGTTTACTCTGTATATGCAAAACGAAAAGTGGTGGAATAATTCCAGATTATATATTAATATTTTCTTATAAATTAATTCGTAAATTTACCGTTTAAAAAAATACAACTTAAACCTCAAACAAACTCTTTTCCAAACCATTATTATTACTTCAACCACAAGTCAAAACTACAGAAATTTGACATTAAAATATCATAAAAGTATATTGTTACGCTATCTCAATTATAGTTTTTGTTTTTTTAAAATACATTAGAAAATAACGATTAGGCGCAATCTAGACTGGCCCTAATACTCTCCAATTAAAAAAAAACTGTATTGGGATGCTCGTAAATCTGTAGACCACCGTCCCTTGAGCCCACAATGTTGGACTTGTTGTCTGACTCCTCTGATATAAACAATATTAAGAACGACGAAAAAGAAGAAAAAACAATAACAAGAATTAAATCTTAACCCCAATCTACCAGAAGTTAAAAGTAAAGCCTAATCTAACCCTAAAATATAACTCATCTTTACATTGTCAATGTAGTTCAATACTAACTGACGAAATGGAAACTAAACACAAGTTCACAACTCGCATTAAGTAAACTCAGTTATTGCATTTTAATTCCTATTTTTCCTAGTTATTAGTGCCATTTCCTGAATTTTATTTTAACAAACAATTTTTATAGCACATTTAGCAGAGTTTGATGAATTTATCTCAATTTTGTGATTTTTACTTTCTCGTATATACGTAGTATAGAGAAAGTATTGTAATCGTGCAAAAAAAAATCGAGATTTTTACAAATCTCGACGTTTTACACCTCACTGATACGGAAAAACATAATTTTGCAATCTTGTCCGTATGTCTGTGTGTGTGTGTGTCTGTGTGTGTGTCTGTCCGTGTGTAAACACGATAACTTGAGTACCGTTACAGCTAGGTTGATGAAATTTCATATATAAGTATTTTATCAAAATCGTAGATCCGTATCAACTTTTGAGCGATTTCCGATAACCGGAAGTGGTACTTTTCCTACTTTGAATTTTTTAAAAGCCTATAACTTGAGTACTATTTCAGATAGATAAATGAAATTTCACATGTAAGTAAAAGATCTAATTCTCTACCTTCTGTTAAATTTTGAGTAATTTCCGTTGGCTGGAATTTTACGTAATTTACGCTACTTCCGATTTCTCAAAAAACTAATGTAAATTTTAAAAGTACTAATAATATTGCGCACTATTATGCGCTTTTTTTATTTGCGTTCACTTGGTGTGCAATTAATTTGTCTACGAGATTTTATTCTATTTTTAAAACTTCAAGTATTTAAAATGGATTAAAAATCATGTCTATAGCCCGAGTTTCCATCCCCTGTTATTTTATATAAGAATATTCGAGAAAGTTTAGGGGAGATCACTCCCGGTTTATTTTATTTGTTTTGTTTTTTTGCTTGACACTTTCCGGTGAGACTCCATATGGCGGTGGTAATGTTTTCCTCTCATGCTGAAAACATGCTCTTCTATCAAGTCTCTGACGTGTGCATTTGAAGACCCGGGGGCTAAAAGTATTTAAATCACCAAAACAAGAGGTCACGTGGTTTGATACAATTAATTTTATTTAAAAATTATATCGGCAAAGGTTTGAATAAAAATTACAAGTTTATTTTTTATGAAGTGACGTTTTAAAAGTATTGATCTCGAAGTTCTTGTACAGCCAATCATGATTTGTCTTACGAAAGTAAATTTCGTGTTATAGCTTAGGCTTGATGAAAATAAATAGAAATGTAGCGTTAAACTAAAAAAAAAGTATTTTCAAGTTATCTGATTTTGAAACCTTTATAACATTGATTTTAAACAGATCAAATTTCTGAATTATTTTCCGGCTTGTCTTTTCTTATATTTTTAAAAAGGCCGCTTTGATGAGTATATCCATATTAACAATAATAATATGATACAAGGATTCTCGTCAACTCGGTAATGACCATTAGTTTCAATCCGAAGAAAGAAATCAACATCCTTTATAGTGTTTTCTGAATGATTTATGGCTAAGTGATGTTTTAAGTTTTGAAGACTGTAAATAACTTTGCACGATACCCATTGCGGTTTCTCTATCCCGTTGCTAATCAAGCGAAGTTAAATTCCTCTTTTCAGACCTGACGATCAATAGGGCAGATGAAGTAGAGTTCACATGTTTCTTGACCTCGGCACAGGAAGGGATGATGTAATGAACACTATGCCCAGCCGCCTTTACTTTCCTTAACGTGAGTCAAGTGTGAGGGTGTCAGGAATCCCAAAGAAAGCACAACACGATACTATTATAGAATTCTTTATTTCAGCATCTCCCGTCCTCCGGTCACAAAATACACCTCCCTGCTTTTACACTCAACCTTCAACTGCCGTCCGCATTCATCCCTACACACCACCTTTCTCTCGCTCACAACACAGCCACTGTCACCCGACCAGTCGCTTCCCTTGTACCCTCGTTCACTCCGTACAACAACATACACGTCAACACACCCGGCCTCGCGTCTCACTACATGCTACATACACACACTCAGTGCTCCGTTCCACGTATTCACCGTTCATACACATTACATCACCACATCAAGTACCCATTAGAGCTGGATTGACTCAGGGGACGTCCTTTAGTCACAAGTCCGAACTGAGATCTGAACTCGAGACCTTCCGGCTAGCAGTCATGCGTCTAAGCGAGTAAGTAAACCCTAATTTATTTTAGTTTACTGCTTAAGTTGGCTAACCCTCAGAAAACTTTTCTGGTTGGTAACCCGTGGTTATAGACAGAGGCGTAGCGACCCTTCCCGGCGCCCGGGGACAAACTTTCGATTTGCACCCCTCCTCGAGCTTTTCATTTGCACCCCCCCACTCAAACTTTCAATTTGCACCCCCCCTCAAACTTTCGATTTGCACCCCCCCCCCCTCGAACTTTTCATTTGCACCCCCCCCCTCAAACTTTCAACTTGGCGCCCCCCCCTAAGGTCGGCGACCGGGGACATATGTCCCCCCCCCGCCCCCCCCCCTCGCTACGCCTCTGGTTATAGAGACCTCTTTACTTGTATCGATGTCTAAGGCATCGTATTCAGCAATTTGATTTGAGCTTCCACACTCGAGTCAGTATTCGACTACTATGGGTAATCGCAGGTTTGTGCAACAATAGAGGGAATCAAATTATTTTCGAGATCTGATCGTTCTTAGGGTGGTAAAACAACGAAAGTTTAACATAACTGACTTCTTGATACTGTGTTGCTTAATATGTTTACATGTACAGCATACTTTTTTTAACCACCCACGCTTAAGGCAATGTTTAGTAGATCCTTCTTATTCTACTCTAAGGACTTTGATGTTTAGCAAAGAAATTTGCTTCTTTTGTTTTAAGCTAAGGATGTAAATAATCATATAAATGAAGATTTTTTGTTTCTCTGGCATCCGGTTGTTTGCTAGTGTGGTCAACTGTTTTTTAGCCAAAGTAAATCAAGGCCATTTGGGTGACTTTTTTTTCATCACTTTGTACCTGATTAACTGTTTATTGTTGTGAATGTGGGGTCGGGCAGATGAGGCTCGTTAGCTGGGGACAGCCACTCTTCTAGAGAAAAGCAGGCTAAAATCGGAGTCAATGTCCTCAATGGCGCATAACTAGTTGACACGTATCCTTAATTGTGATGGAGGCGTGGTCGAGTCATCAAAGCTCATGGTTGTTAAATTCGAATAAGTTTCGAGTTCAAACACTCTGATAAGGCTCGATCCCTACCAACACTAAAAATTAAGAACGAAGAAGAAGTTGTAAATGTGTTTGTAACCTTTTGTCAGCAATCTACAAATCAAAAGAACAAAATTTAAATTGGTTGACAACCCACGATTTTAATTCATCATTAATTACAAAATATACAAAAAAAGCAGATACAATTCGATTTAGAAAATATATTTTGATCAAGAAAAACAACGATACGATGCAATGAAACGTAAAGTATAAGTGAGACTTAAGTTGGGTTCACCTAGGAAAGGTGAGACTTGGTCTATTAATTATGATACCACTGGCAGTATGGTGTCACCTCCACACCCCTGAAGTACCACCTTGCTAAACACCTTCCGTAGCAATAATCGGACCTGTGAATGCAGGCAAATAGCTGATCAGAGAAATAAATTGTGCAAAATTATTAAATTATCAGTGAGATCAGTTGTAAAAAATTATTACATTAACAAGAAGATCAGTTGTAAATAGTTATTACATTAACAAGGAGTTGAGTCAGTGGCGGAACTAGAAAAAAAGGGCCACCCCACAAAACAATTTTTAGGCCCCCCATATATATATACACATATATATATACACATATATATCTATATCTATATAAATATTTACACACACACACACACATATATATATATATATATATATATATATATATATTTATATATATATATTTATATATATATATATATATATATATATATATATATATATATATATATATATATATATATATATATATATATATATATATATATATATATATATATATATATAGCAACAATGAGCTTTACCGACTCGACCACGCCGACCCCTATATACAAACATTAAATACGAACATAAGATACTCATTGCTGGCCTCTTCGGGTTTGAAAAAAAAATGTTTTTTTTTTCAATTAATACAAATTACAACAACTTGTCTTGTCTGTAAGTGCGTTAGTCTGTTTAAAAAAGACAATAAAATTGGAACGATACAGAGAAGATTAGCATGACCCTCGCGCAAAGATGACACGCAGAATCGTGAAGTCTGTTTAAAAAAAGCAGTTTTATATTATTAATATTATCTATATATATAAAGCAAAGTGGTCAAGTGCCCGATAGGGCACTTCCCGGCGCCGTAGGCGCGTCAAATTTGGCACGATGGTGCCTTGGGGCGATAGAACACGAGGGACGGTGACGGTTCGCCGAAAAGTCTACGGAGAGGGGGTCAAAACTGACCTCGACTGACCGGTGCCTTATATGGGCTATATTACGAAAAAAATTCCGACGACGACACCCCTTGAAATTTTGTGAGATGGTAGGAGAACGCCTTGGGGTGTCATAAAAAACTCGGCATATCTGGGAAAACTTCGTAAACGGGTCAAAACTGACCAGTTGTATTTCCCTATATAATCTTTGTATTTTATGGGAAAAACAGAGGGTAATTTCAAAACGGATTTTAGGGCACTCACTCTCTTTACATCTGGCTAATTTTTGACATGCTTATAGGTAAATGGCTTTGCCGTAGGGCCGACCTGTCGGCTTTACTCAAAGCCCTCGAAGAGGGCTAAAAAGTGACCGCGAGTGAAATTCTCTTTATATGAGATCTATTACGAAAAACAAATTCCTCCGACGACCCCCCTTGATATTTTGTGAGGTGGTAGGAGAACGCCTTGGGGTGTCACAAAAAACTCGGCATATCTGGGAAAATTTCGTAAAGGGGTCAAAACTGACCAGTTGTATTTCCCTATATAACCTTTGTATTTTATGGGGAAAACAGGGTAATTTCTACGCAAATTTTAGGGTACTTACTCTTTGTATAACTGGCTAATTTTTTGCATACACTTCTATAGATGAATGGACCGTATGGAAAAACTGTTGGTCAGCATCAAAGCCCTCGAAGAGGGCTAAAAATGACTGCGAGTGAAATTCTCATTATACGAGATTTGGTCATTTGGTCTATGAGCAGGTAATTTTAATGTAACAATTTTTTTTATATTTTGTATACTCTTTTTAAGAAAAAACAAAAATCATAAAGTATAGCATTGTTTTAAATGGATATTTTGTTATAGATTAAGTTTTGTATTGTTTTGAAATTATAAAATTAATTGCAAAAGTAATTTAATATAATATTTGATTGATAATTTTTATGAAAGCCCTTTCAGTTCTAATAACCTTGCGAGTAATAAGTTTGCGAATATTCCATCAAATTATGGGTACCAAAAAAGTACCCCACTGAATAAATTTAGGCCCTAAGCATTTAACATAACCTATTAATTAATCATTCAATTTCTCAACTTTTTTAAAAACCTAAGCGAAGCTAGGCAGTATGCCTAGTCTTTGATAAAACACCCATTAACCCTTTAGTCGGTCAAAAGAATATAAAACATGAAAGCTTTGTATAAGTAATGGTGTCTCGCGTTATGTTTATTTTTATGTTTTTTTTTGTATTTATATTATTAATTTTAAATACATTTCCTTTTTATACAATGTCATTCTTTTGTAAGTACTTTATAGAATAATAATTAAGAGAAGTAATTGCTTTTAAATTTGTTTAGTACAAATCTATTAAAAGTAATAAAAGGAGCTTATGAGCACCCCTATTTGACTATTTAAAAAAGGGAAATAAGTCATGGAAGTGGTTTGAACGTTTGCTTATCTTTGATAAGTTTGATTGTAGGAGAAAGAGGACTCGGCTTACACAGTGGTTTAAAAACAAAAGGGAAAAAATATTCAAGAGCGTGGGGTGGTGTCTGTAGAATAAAGATAATCCAATCGCAGCTACAGTAATCTTTTTATAAAATAACCATCAAGTCAAAAATGCAAGAAAATTAATTATTTTTTTAACTAACAAAAAAGTTATTATGGTCGGCTGGGCCCTTAAATGGCGTGCCCCCCCCCCCCCCCCCCGCATTGTGGGGTCTGGCGGCACTGTAGTTCCGCCCCTGAGTTGAGTTGTAAATAATTAAAAAACTAGCCGTCTCGGCCAGGTTCTGCTCTGGCCTTTGTGAAAAGCGTATCTGAAAATAACCGTAGCTTGTGTTTTTTATTACGCATTAAATACCCTAATAATAATCATAACCTTAAACCTAACTCTAACTATATATTTTAGATTTGCGTTGTTTTCTTTTGTAAACTACATACACTTCCTTTCAGTGGCGTAGCCAGGATCGTCTCAATGGGGGGGGGGGGGGGGTTTCCAATTTTTACCCGGGGGCAAACTTTCGATTTGCACCCCCCCCCTCAGACTTTTGATTTGCACCCCCCTCAAACTTTCGATTTACACCCCCCTCATACTTTACATATATACCGAGGGGTCTATGGTGAGGGGGTTATGACCCCCCTAACCCCCTGCCTACGCCACTGCTTCCTTTAACAGAAAAGAATTTAGGCGTTTAATTTTGTGTCTCTATGACCAATGCCGTCTTTAGTATTGTGTATCCTTTTCGACATTAGATTTTCAATGCTATTTTTTTTTATTTTACAATCAATGTCGTCATTCTTATTTTGTACTTTCCGTAGTTTAAATATATTATTGATATTGTTTCATTGCCATATTTTTCTATTCCTTTCATTTGACGTCATTCTCTTTGCCATTGATAGTTTTTATGCTACTTAAATTTTCCCTAGAGCGTTTTTGTCACAAATATAAACAAACAACACAAACACACACGCAAACATAAACACTTCTGCATTTGTATATTTAAAGTTGTGTTTCTGTATTCGAATATGTTCTTTACACAGGTACTTACACACACACGGCCCAAGGAATGCTGGGACATCTGGCAACCATACACGGATCTACATAGCAGTAGACTCGATTCGGGCACGCAAAATCTGAAGACAGAATGTAGGCATTAGTGTGCTGAATGTGGGATATTTGAAGACATAATGCAGGTAAACAAAATGCAGACTCTATAAAGTGAAAAAGTGCAATTTGTAAATATTATCGAAAACATAGTGGTTTAGCATCACCGATGGATCGATTATAGTCTGAAATATTCCCTTATTTAAAAAATAAGTTATTTCGTTCAGCTAGGGTTTTGGTTATAATTTAGTAGCTAATAATAATAACTATGTACAAATTTGACAATATAAACTTACCGAAAATTATTTAACGTATAAACATTTTAATAACATTAACAGTAGTTTCATTTGTAAAATTTTTATTACTGGTGAGTTTGTGTATAATTTAAACGTTTTGAAATATATCTTCCGGTAACCTCCCTTGACAAAAAATAAATTTAAATTTGTAAATGTTGTTCGCTTATTTCAGTGAGAATATAAAAAAAAATGTCATTAAAACAGCTTTTAAATTGATTTTATAATAATGTTAAAATGTGATTGATCCACAAAAATTGTGTTACTCAAAACATCTTGTCATTCAAATTCATTGATTTCTTCTTACTGCAATTGATATTTTAAGTTTACTTATACCAATATCATTAAATATGCTCATAAATTAATTCTTGTATACGAATTTTGTAAAGATTAAAAAGTTTCGCGTCCTCTTTTTAATGCAAGGTTTGTCTTTTGAATAATTCAAGGCGTCCTAATAATTTCAAGTTGATTGTACACAATGTGCTCGAGTCTGGGCAAACATGTATTATATTTCCCGCTGTATACGTTATAAAGCAAGGTAAAACAAAAATATCAATCTCATGTTGGTGTTACCTTTTTAATGATTGAAGTTTGCAAAACTAAATTATTTTTGAGGAAATTTATTTACTTTCTCTTATTGATTTTATGCATTTTTAACTACATCGAAAGCACGGTCTATTGTTGATATCGATTTTGAAAGAGTTTTTCTAAATTAAAACCACCCCCCACTCACCCCCCCACCCCCCCCCACTCACCCCCCACCACCCCCCCCCCACACACACACCACCCCCCCCACCCACCCCCTCTTAAAAAAAACATGTCTACCGTCCCATTCAACGAAATATAATTATATACTTTTTCCAGTGTCCGCCCCCTCCCCGAAAATTCTACACCCGCCCCCGAAAATTCCAAGTACCCCCACCCCTCTCCGGGGAGGAAAAAAGTCTGAAAGAAACACCGGTGTCGCGCTTAGCCACTACCCGAAGAATTGCATTAAAGAAATTGCAAGAAAACCACTTTTTAGATTAGACACATTAATTAGGCGGTAATTTTATTACAGAGTATCGATGAAGAAATTTCTTTTGAGTTGGGGAGGGGGGGGGGGGGCTCAGACGTTCTTACGCGGGGGGTGGGGCTTCGCCCCTACCCGAAGAATTGTATGCAAGAAACTCTTCACGCAAACCATTTAGATTAGACAAAATTTCCTTTTTAATTCAATGTTTACTCGAGAATCAATGACGTCATATTACTGTGTGCACTATCCGGCTTGAGATTATTTTCTACTCTGTGCTAAATGTGTCGACGTAATACTTCGTTTTTCGAATTACTATGCATGTTTTTAATTTCCTTGTGTTTTCTCTAGAGCGTTCTTGTCAGATAGATAGATAGATAGACAGACAGCGAAACTATTAGTATTAATATATATATACGAGAAAAATGGCCCGTTGAGGAAGAGTTCAACGGGCGCTAGGCTGATAGTGCTGTCTCTTTTCTCTAAACTAAAACCAACTCACCCCCCACCCCCCACCCCATATTACTGTGTGCACTATCCGGCTTGAGATTATTTTCTACTCTGTGCTAAATGTGTCGACGTCATACTTCGTTTTTCGAATTACTATGCATGTTTTTAATTTCCTTGTGTTTTCTCTAGAGCGTTCTTGTCAGATAGATAGATAGATAGACAGACAGCGAAACTATTAGTATTAATATATATATACGAGAAAAATGGCCCGTTGAGGAAGAGTTCAACGGGCGCTAGGCTGATAGTGCTGTCTCTTTTCTCTAAACTAAAACCAACTCACCCCCCACCCCCCACCCCCACAAAATTGCCTTTTTATTCAATGTTTACTTACTCGAGAATCAATGACGTCATATTACTGAGATTATTTTCTACTCTATGCTAAATGTGACCGCGTCATACTTCGTTTTTCGAATTACTGTGCATGTTTTTATTTTGCTTGTGTTTTCTCTACAGCGTTCTTGTCAGATAGATAGATAGATAGATAGATAGACAGACAGCGAAACTATTAGTATTAATATATATATACGAGAAAAATGGCCCGTTGAGGAAGGGTACAACGGGCGCTAGGCTGATAGTGCTGTCTCTTTTCTCTAAACTAAAACCAACCCACCCCCCCACACACCACCACCCCCACCCCCACCCCCCCACCCCCACACACCACCCCCCACCCCCCACCCCACCCCCCTAAAAACATGTCTACCGTCCCATTCAACGAAATATAATTATATACTTTTTCCAGTGTCCGTCCCCTCCCAGAAAATTCTACCCCCGCCCCCGAAAATTTCAAGTACCCCCCACCCCTCTCCGGGGAGGAAAAAGTCTGAAAGAAACACTGGTGTCGCGCTTAGCCACTACCCGAAGAATTGCATTAAAGAAATTGCAAGAAAACCACTTTTTCGATTAGACACATTAATTAGGCGGTAATTTTATTATAGAGTATCGATTAAGAAATTTCTTTTGAGTTGGGGAGGGGGGGGGGCTCAGACGTTCTTACGCGGGGGGTGGGGCTTCGCCCCTACCCGAAGAATTGTATGCAAGAAACTCTTCACGCAAACCATTTAGATTAGACAACATTTCCTTTTTATTCAATGTTAACGCGAAAATCAATGACGTCATATAACTGTGAGCACTCTCTGGGTTTGAGATTATTTTCTACTCTGTGCTAAATGCGTCGACGTCATACTTCGTTTTTCGAATTACTGTGCATGTTTTTAAATTGCTTGTCTTTTCTCTAGAGCGTTCTTGTCAGACAGATAGATAGATAGATAGATATAGATAGAGAGACAGCGAAACTATTATTATAGATATATATAGTTTTTCAATTAAGGATCAGACTATATATATATATATATATATATATATATATATATATATATATATATATATATATATATATATGGCCGATTCTAGCCGGAATAAGATACGCATGCGATGCGCATGCGTAATGGAGAGAAACTACTACTTGCCTTAGCGGCGATGTTTTCGATGGTACTGCGCATGCGTGTGTTTACAACCGCAGAACCCTAACACCAACCCTAATCCTATCCTTAACCCTATCCCTAATCCTATCCCTAACCCTATCCCTAACCCTAATCCTATCCCTAACCCTATCCCTAATCCTACCCCTAACCCTCATTCTAGCCCTAACCCTAGCCATACGTCACTGCGCATGCGCAGAGCTATCTTTTGCCGACTAAGTGGAGACGTTGGGGAGAACAATCTTCTTCCGAGTAGACACTTCGTATAAATATATATACATACATATATATATATATATATATATATATATATATATATATATATATAGAGAGAGAGAGAGAGAGAGAGAGAGAGAGTCTGATCTTCATTCAGATATTTAAATAAAGTCCTGAGCAAGATCAATTTTTTTTTGTTATAATACTTTTATTTTCAAATAGAAATAATTACATCAGTATACCACCCTGTGTATGTGTTAGTCTTTAATATAGTTCAATATAGTCTCAGTTTTGTAGATTTGTCTTTCAGCGCGCCCAGCCAATGAGTGGTGGCAGTAGCTGATTTTTACTACGTTCATCATGCGACACATTTCAACTATTCCTGAAACTTTCGTTCTCAAAATTTTACATATTATTTACAAAATAAAATTTGTATTTTAATGGGGTGGGTGGGGGGGAAGGTTAATTCATGGGCCAAAAGTACTTTGCTATTTCTGAAAATTTAAAGTTATAATTGGGACAATATTTGGCTATAATAAATGGAAGTGATGAGTTATAGTAAACTTTATATTAACAAAATTTGGCTTCAAAGGTTGGTCTAGGCTTCCTAAAGACGGGGGGGGGGGGGGGGGGGGGGGGGGGGGGGAGGTGGGGGGGGGGGGGGAGAAGTACAAATAGTTATATCTGAAGTATACAAGAAAAACATGATATATTATGTACAATAGGTAGTTGCTATTTCTGAATAATAAAGTTGAAAAAGGGACAATATTTGTCTATAATAAATAAAAGTGATGAGTTATAGTAAACTTTATATTATCAAAATTGGCTTCAAACGTTGGCCTAGGCTTCCTAAAAGAGGGGAGAAGTACAAATAGTTATAAATGAAGTATACAAGAGAACATGATATATTAATAATATTATTATGTACAATAGGTAGGATTTATCGATCAACAATTCAGATGTAAGTTTTTCAAAGTAAATAGAAACAACAGTCGAGGTAATAATCGCCTTTCATGTGATAAGTTTAAATAAAAACTCTTAGAAATTAAGTTCAGTGAAAGGTTTCGTGTGTAAAATGTTGTGCAATAGTAGTTCAATGAATAAAAAACTGCGGTAGTTTGAGACACAGTCATATCATTGTTTTTTTATGCATAAGTAATGTTATATTAAGCTAAGATGTTCTACTGTTATTTTTGTTACAGTTGTTTTTCTTTTTACTTTTAAGAATTTTAGAAAAATACTTATGGTAGTCTCCCTTTTACGTATACAAATTGTTAACGGAAAGTTTAAAATTACTTAAATTAAAATTACTCTGTCAAAACGTAATATTTAATAAATTAATATAGTGTTTATTCAATATTAAAACTACATAGTAACACAATCTATCTCAGACGGAATAAAGTTTATGAAGTATGACTTGTAAAATTTATGAATAAGTGGGAAAGTAAATTGAAAACGAAAGAAAAATGGCGGATATTATGGTGGTGAAGATGTGATTCATGTGAAATGTGTTGGAAGTGGGAAGTGGAAAGCGCGACCCACAGATATACACAATGGATTTAGATTTTATTGCTTAGTACGTGTGTCCTATACAGGATATTTGCAGGCTGTAAACCTTATTTCATCTCTTTATATGTTTTGCATACTTTACCTAAGTGTCGCCTTGTCCCCTTTAAAAAAAAAATTGCTACTTACGCATCACAAGTAATTGTAAAGCGATATTTTATTTTAAAGAAAAACATAGGTTTTTGAGACCATAACAACTTGTATATATATATATATATATATATATATATATATATATATATATATATATATATATATATATATATATATATATATATATATATATATATATACATATTTGGCTTTGATTACCAAACTAACCTATTTCCATGCTATACAAAAGCCGCCTTCTTTAATAATTACTACTGTTACTTTAAAATATAAGACAATGAAACAGTGGCGTCACAAGGCGTGATGGGGGGGGGGGGGTGGGTTGCGGCCCGCACCCGATGACAAAATTTAGGGGTAACACTATGAAGAAAAATGTTAACATTTACTTTCAAGGCAATGTTTTATTCCGCTTAAATAACTAAATGGGATGGTGTGGTTTAGTGGTAGAGAGTTAGACTGCTGGCCCGAGAGTCTCAAGTTCGGATCCGGGTTCATATCAGTGGTACGTCTTTGAGTCCACCCAGCTCTGATGTGTACCTAACTTACATTAGGGAAACAAAGGCGGCTGGGCATAGTGCTGACCACACTATCCCTTCATATGTCGAGATCTCTGAAGCAGATGAACTCTACTTTATGTTTCTCGGGCACGAATTGGAATTGATGATGATGATAATGATGATGACGATGATGATGATGATGAAATAACTAAATAGTAAGGGAAAGGGGCGACACCTAACCGAAAATGCAAAATTAATGAATGGGGGTGTCGTGACAACCTCGGTCACCGCACCGGGGTGACACCCAACATAATGAGGTGACACCCAACATAATGACGGTGACACCCGACATAATGACTCCATAATGAGACATAATGAGACATAACTTAAAAGAACAATGAACACAGATGACATAGTACTTCTGGACGCAATTTGAATATCACACACCTTGATAACAAACAAAAGCCCATGTTCTCTATGGATCATAGTCTTCAAAATCGTTTAAATTTTTCCCAAACATCTATAAATAGAGAAATAAAAAACCCAACAAAAACCAAAAATATTAATTAAAATTACGAAACAAAAAATAAATGACTCACAAGCGTAGGTAGCAGCGCAACAGGCAAGTAACACAATCAACGAAATGATTCTCATTGTGTTGGTCTTCTTTCTCTCAGCAGACGTTGGTCTAGCTTAGCTGCAGACGATAGATTGTGGCCAGTTTTTTCACGTCTGCTTTTTATATACAATCAAACCTGTTGTAACATGCGAATTTCGTGGTATTCGAGTTAATTAATTTTTAAAATTTTGTTTACATTTAAAAAATATTTAACGCACAGGTGAAAGACCATGCCTAAGGGTAAACTAGAATGATGGATAGTGTCCGTAAAATTTGTACTAATATTCAATTCGTTTCGCCAATCAAATTAAAGAAAGAAAAAATATGTACCGTTTGATTAAAACGCGGTATTGTTGTGTTTATCTACTTGATGATCTTCCTAATCAACGGCGTGATTGATTTTTTGACGTCACCAGCTGCCCGATGGGCTAATTAATGAGCGTTAAAAATATTGTTGGTACCCGCGTTGTTGTCAATTTAGGGTCACAGCGCCATTTTGTACTTCAGAATTTTTTTTTTTCGTAATTTGAAACTATTTTTTTAATAAAGGGGAGGGTGTGGGGAGGTAGTAACTACACCCCCCCCCCCCTTTCAAGATTAAGACCAATGTCGTTGTAAATAATTAATGTAGGTACTTGTATAACATAGACAAGTATCGAATCCGTTATTTTTACCATTATCGATACCGTAACCCTAATTTATACACGTGACCATGGATATCGATGACTCTAAACCTAGTTCTGGCTCTGACACAGTCCCAAACTCTGAACCAAATTCTAATCATAACCATAACATCGATATTGATCTAGCTAGCTAGACCTATCATATCTAGCTAGCCAGACCTATCATGCCTAGCTAGCTAGACCTATCATGAATAGCTAGTTAGACCTATTATACCTTGATAGCTAAACCTTTATTTTTTGCCCAGCTGGGGAGACTTTTTATGTTCAGCAGGCCACAGCTATAAATCCAGCCATCCACAGCGATATATCCATCCATCCACAGCTATAAATCAAGCCATCCACAGCTATAAATCAAGCCATCCACAGCTATAAATCAAGCCATCCACAGCTATAAATCCAGGCACCCACAGTTATAAATCCAGCCATCCACAGCTATAAATCCAGCCATCCACAGCTATAAATCCAGCCATCCACAGCTATAAATCCAGGCACCCACAGCTATAACCCAGCAACTCACAGCTATAAATCAAGCCATCCACAGCTATAAATCAAGCCATCCACAGCTATAAATCCAGGCACCCACAGCCATAAATCCAGCCATCCACAGCTATAAATCCAGCCATCCACAGCTATAAATCCAGGCACCCACAGCTATAACCCAGCAACTCACAGCTAAAAATCAAGCCATCCACAGCTATAAATCCAGCCATCCACAGCTATAAATCAGACATCCACAGCTATAAATCCAGGCACCCACAGCCATAAATCCAGCCATCCACAGCTATAGATCAGACATCCACAGCTATAAATCCAGGCACCCACAGCTATAAACCCAGCAACTCACAGCTATAAATCCAGCCATCCACAGCTATAAATCCAGGCACCCACAGCTATAAATCCAGCAACTCACAGCTATAAATCCAGCCACCCACAGCTATAAATGCAGCCATTAACATCTATAAATCCAGCCACCCACAGCTATAAATCCAGCCACCCATAGCTATAAATCCAGCCACCCATAGCTATAAATCCAGTCATCCACAGCTATAAATCCATTAACCAACAGCTATACCATCCACCCACAGCTATAAATCCAGCCACCCAAAGCTATAAACCCAGACATCCACAGCCATAAATCCACCCACCCACAGCTACACCATCCACCCACAGCTATAAATGCAGCCATTATCAGCTATAAATCCAGCCACCCACATCTATAAATCCAGCCACCCACATCTATAAATCCAGCCACCCATAGCTATAAATCCAGCCACCCATAGCTATAAATCCAGTCATCCACAGCTATAAATCCATTAACCAACAGCTATACCATCCACCCACAGCTATAAATCCAGCCACCCAAAGCTATAAATCCAGCCACCCAAAGCTATAAACCCAGACATCCACAGCCATAAATCCACCCACCCACAGCTACACCATCCACCCACAGCTATAAATGCAGCCATTATCAGCTATAAATCCAGCCACCCACATCTATAAATCCAGCCACCCACATCTATAAATCCAGCCACCCATAGCTATAAATCCAGCCACCCATAGCTATAAATCCAGTCATCCACAGCTATAAATCCATTAACCAACAGCTATACCATCCACCCACAGCTATAAATCCAGGCACCCACAGCTATAAATCCAGCCACCCAAAGCTATAAACCCAGACATCCACAGCCATAAATCCACCCACCCACAGCTACACCATCCACCCACAGCTATAAATGCAGCCATTATCAGCTATAAATCCAGCCACCCACATCTATAAATCCAGCCACCCACATCTATAAATCCAGCCACCCATAGCTATAAATCCAGCCACCCATAGCTATAAATCCAGTCATCCACAGCTATAAATCCATTAACCAACAGCTATACCATCCACCCACAGCTATAAATCCAGCCACCCAAAGCTATAAATCCAGCCAATCACAGCTATAAATCCAGCCATCCACAGCCATAAATCCAGCCACCCACAGCTACACCATCCACCCACAGCTATAAATGCAGCCATTTACAGCCATAAATCCAGCCACCCACATCTATAAATCCATCCATCCACAGCTATAAATCCATCCATCCACAGCTATAAATCAGCCACCCACAGCTATAAATCCAGACATCCACATCTATAAATCCAGCCAATCACAGCTATACCATCCACCCACCGCTATAAATCCATCCATCCACAGCCATAAATCCATCCATCCACAGCCATAAATCCAGCCACCCACAGCTCTCACTATCCACAAGCCACGGACCGTCGATACAAAATGCTGCCAGGTATTGATTTTAGCTGAGACAATTGACCAAACTCACTGAATAACAAGAGCTTCTCGGTGCATATCGTGCACAAATCCAATAAAACGTCGTCTGCACAATTTGAGCCTCGTCTCTGAATAAATTAATGGCAGCATGGAACAATCCGATGCGAATGGGATCGATAATTCTGAAATTGTGAAGTAGAAAAGAAAATTGTGAACATATCTTCTACATTTAAAAAAAAATAAAAATCATCATTGGTGCGAAAAAATGTATCGACTAAAGACTATGTTGAATTGTTAAAAGCTAAGAATGTGTATTACCTTTGTTTGTGTATTTGATTTAAGTACATTTAAGTGTAAAAAGCATCCAGTTGAGAAAATAGAATATGAGAAATTGCATTTCTTTCAATGGATGCTCTTTTTTTTTCTTTATCCCAAAGTTTTAAAGTAGCGTAACACAAAGTACCCTTTCAAAATGTACTGTCCATTAGGTAGGTGAAGTAGAGTTCACCTGTTTGAATAACCTCGGCACATGAAAGGATAATGTGGTCAGCATTATGCACAGCCGTGTTTGCTTTCCATAACGTGAGTCAGGTAGGAGTGTTCGGATGGACGGATGGTCAGACTGTAGTATGGGTAGACTTTAGAGGTACTTTTAAAGAATTATTTTTATCACAATATAACACTTGGGACGGAGCGGTCTAGCGATAGAGAGCTGGACTGCTAACCCGTAAGTCTTGAGTTTGAATCCGGGATCAAGTCAGTAGACCGTCCCTGAGTCCACCCAACTCTGATGGGTACCTAACTCACGTTAGGGAAAGTAAAGGCGGCTGGGCATAGTGCTGACCGCACTATCTCTTCATATGCCGAGGTCACAGAAACAAGTGAACTCTACTTCACTTGCCCTATAGACCGTCGGAAACTTTTTAATATAACACTTATAACCACCAACAGCAAGCCTGGACATACTATGATATGTTTAATAATAACTTCAGAAAGCTAAGCTGTATCCAGAGGTGTAGTCATGCAAGGAGAAGGGGTGGCAGAGGTGAATTTTTTCACTGGCGCCTCTCCACCTACTACCCCCTATTTGTATCCATGAATGATTTTATTGACTAAACTACAAACTAAAATTTAGTTATAAAGTATCTAAAAATATACTTCATTTCACTTGAGTTGATGTTATTAGCTCATTGTGGTTAATAGGGGCCACAACCATACCCTTCCACTTTGTCCGGTCCCCCTTGTTGATTTTCAACCTCCCAAGACATCCCTGCCGTCTTCAGTTCTCACGAAGACCCCCAGGTTCGCCTTCCCTGGGGGTTCCACTCAGGCGCCTGGCGTGTCACATTAGAGTCAGCCTTTCGCAATGTGTGTCCCACCGAGTGCCAATTCCTTCTTCTTATTTACACTGTCATCGGCTCCTGCCTTCTCTATAAGTCTATATCCGGCACTTTATCCTGCCACATCAATTTCAGAATCTGCCAGGAACATTTGTTAATGAAGCTCTGTATCTTCTCTGGGCATGCCTTGGAGACTCTCCATGTCTCTGCTCCATATAACAAAACCGACATTTAACAACCCAGGAAACAAACAAAATGCTTAATCCAATAAAAGTTGAGGAGTGCATACGTACTCAAACACTCAACAATACTACACCACTGAACAAGTTTCACGAAGTCTCTTAAATTCATCACAATTACATTAAATTTATTATACAACCAACTTCTTTTCGATAGTTTTTCTTTTTATTTTCTGCAGCTAGTAAATTTATTCATAAAATCCTTTTTTTTCTGTTGTTTTTTTGCTATTATGGGAAGTTATGAAGAATGTCAGGGTAACCTCAAATACTTGTGTACTAATGGATTTTGTTATGGTTTTCGATTATGTTTTAAATTGTAAAAACAAAAATAAATTTTCTTGCTGATTTTGAAAAATATAATCTTCAAAACAACAACACAAAATCTAATAAAAATCAAAGGTTTTATCTCCTCTTTTAGTCACACTGCTGATTATTTTTTCACACTTTTAATTTTATTCTCTTTTATGTTGCATGTTAACGGACAATAACACGGCTCTAATAATAATAGCATTGCGAAAAACAGGCTAGAATATTCAAGGGAAACTACTCTAGCTAATAATTCGATTGTTCTTTA